GATTTATTCTATTTTTACTGTAAACCTCCCAGAATCACCCCACAGTGAGATGGGCAGTGACAAATTTGAAATATAAATAAATAAATGTTCAAACAAGCCAAGATTTTCAACTCCAACCTTGCTGGAATGTAGCAAACCTACCAACAGCAGCTGTAAAATACTGTTCAATCTCCTTTGGTGTCAGCACTCTTTCCCATATGATGAATTCATCAAAAGCTCCATGGATGTAGCGTTTTCCTTGGCTGCCTTCTGAGCCCATCAGCATATTGGAATTGGAGTCACCATAATTGTAGAAATGTTTCCCATAGGCATCAACGTCGTTCAAAGTCCCATTGATGTAGACTTTCAGACCATCTTCAGATTTCCAGGTAAACAGGACATGAGTCCAGTGGGGACCTGAAAAGCACAGCTTGGCAATAAGAACCTGGGGAGTGAACCCCTCAGGGTGGACCTTAAAGAGAACCTTGGGATCCAGGCCAAAGCTCACTGAAGAACCTCACAAATGAGGCATAAATGCAATCCTCCTACCCCATGGTTGGCTCTCAGCAATGAATATTTAAGTTATGCCAAGGTCTGTGGGAATGACCTTGGGAGACAGGAGGAAGAGCCACAGACCAGGCAATGGTTGGACAAGCAGCAGCTGAGTCCACAGAAGGAATGGGGGCCTGGCAAACATCTCAGAAGGGACCCTCCCTAGTTTTTTGGATTGTAAAGGTGAGAGGAGGAGAGATGCACTTTCAGACTTGCAAGATTCTATGAATGTAACCTTATAATAAAGTTAGAGCCACTACTTCTGGATATGCTTCTTGTCTGGACTACCTTGCAAGGTTGACAGCCATCTCTGACATGGGTAATTCTTAATTTACTTAGGATAATTCTGTATCACCTTTCCAGCAGAAACCAACAAGGGATTTCTTGTCTTCTGTGGTTGAAGCTTTTGGTTACCGAAGTAGTTTTAATAGTCCAATTAGTTTTTGTTGCTTTTAGAATATTCCCCTGGTGCCTCCTATATCGGGTCGGTCCATTTTCAATAGATATAATGATAATTATGTATAAATGATTCTAAATGCTTCATGTTTCCAAATCAAATCAGTGCATTTCCTTCAGCCCACTCTCAATTAAGCCACTTAATTTAGCGGCTCTTACATTATTTCTTCTTTGCCTGGGTTAAAGGCACAAGGCTTTGCTTTACTGTATTTAAATACTTTCTGGCATATAAATCCATTTGCTTTTGATCATATACTGTACAATAACTATTTATTCAATGAATGCATTCATCGAGGAAGAAAGACTACCTGGTGAAATGAAAGTTGCTGCCCACTTCTTGGAAATGTGACGGTTAAAGAGTTCTACAGAGCCTTTGTGTTCACCGAAGTAGACTTTAAATCCATTAGATAGGACTTGATCCCCATATGCTGGGGCAGGCTTTAGTTGATACCCTTGAGTCTTCCAGAAAAAGGAGAAGGTCACACCTAGTAGAACCAAAAGAAACAGAGGAGGGATTGTCTTTAAGCAGACAAGCGCAAAATTAATAATGTGAGAGCTTTCAAACATCACCTTCTCCAAATCAAATCAACCTCCCCATTCTTTTATGCACCATGTTGCACAGGCCCCACTGAAGTAGATGGAAAACAGTCTCCATCTTGAATATCCCCTGGTTTGGTCTGCTTCCAAAGCTTTCCGGCTCAGCTGATGTATCCCCTGTCTCTGGGAACTCCCTCTCCACTAATTTTGCAAGAATTAGGATGAGTAACACCAGAATGGGTGTTCAAAAGCAAAAGAACACCCCGTACCCCCCCCCAAGTATTTCTTAATGTTTCATAGCAGAAGTCATAAGGTCAGATTGATGTGTTTGAGATCATAGTTCTCTTCCATTTTGATGCTGTGAAACAAGGACATGCCATTGAGAAGGCTGGACATGATGGACTGCAGTAGCCCAGGTTTTAGACACAGAAAGAAACAGAAGTGTGAAATATCGACTTGTACAATCCTTCCTTAGGCCAAGAAAGGGTGAGTGTGTTAACCTTGTCTTTATCTTCCATAATAAGGATTCTGAAAGGGAAACTATCTTGCATTTTTAAAAAGATGTTTATGATTCTAAGTTGGTTAACAAGAAAAATGTGCAGGAAATGTCCATCAGATGTTTGCCTATGTTTCTTGAAATGGACACAGTTCTGTCTGCAAAAAAATGGGCTTTTTGGTTTGAGTGACCCGAATCGGGAATGTTCTCAACAATCCCTAGGCGGATGCATCTTTTCAACTCGGAAAAAATATAATACAACTTAAAAGAAGTTCATACTTTGAAGGATAATTGAGTTTTGGTTTGCCCAATGATTCATAAGTGCAAAATTAGACACATTCTCATCAAAATGTGAAGAAAAACATTCCTCTTGTCACTGCATGGTTATGACAAGTCTGCTTATTTTTAAATGAATCATTAGAAGGATGGTTAGCACTCAGAATTAATTATCCCCACCCGACATATTCCTGGATATAACTTCTAAGACCATTATAGAGTTTAAATTGGAGACGGATTAACTCCCTCGTACTCCCTAGAAGATACAATGGATTACCAATGCTGTTTAAATGGAAAAGCAAATTTGCAGGATATTACCCTGGCCCTTGATAGAAGCAACTGTACGCAGATCCTTAGAGATATTCCATGTTCAAACCCAATACTGTTCTTATCCAGCAAAGTTTATAACTTGGCCAATAAACAAGATAACTTAGTCCTAAGGGGATGCTTTGATGATACATTAAGACAGATCCAAGAAGAAGATATTATAATCCACAGAGGAAACTCCTAAACAAACCCATTAGATGCACACTTTGGATGGAATCTACCTAGGGAATTTCTGATCCCAGCACCATCATTTTAAGCCCATGGTTAGTTACAGTCATAAACAAATATGCATAATTTATTCAGCAGGCTGCTCTCCCATTTCCTCAGCAAATAATTTGGATGTAAACCGTAAGAACAATTTACATACTGCTAACGCCTGGAAGGGATTTTATTATTCCCTTAAAATGTTGTTCAGTGATATTTTCTTCTCCCCCCTCCCCCCGGTTGCGTTGCTGGAATAAAATAAATAAAATAAAATATTAACGTATATAAAAACCACCGTGATGGGGTAATCTCTTACTAACCTTCAGGCTCACACAATTCTGGGTTAATAATGCAAGAGTTTTGATAGTTTCCAAAAAGGAGAAACGTTACTCCCTTGCCATCCGGAATATAGATGCCTTTGTTTACAATGCCTTCTACAATATCTAAGGAAAATAAAGGGGGAAAATATGAAAATGTGCAGCTGTTAAAATATTCTGGTTAGCCCCATCACTGAGAAGGATGAGCAGGGCAATTTTTATTATTTTTCCACCTCCCCAGATCTCAGTCTCCACGACTCTGTAAACTCAATATGATGGACCATCCTTCTTCTTCCAGCCATTCATGAGGAACCATTTCCAAATTCCTCGTGTTCTCAGTGAAGGGGGTAGGGTTTCCCCTTAGTTTGAGAGATAGAAGCAAGGAAAGATGGAGCCTCACAGGAAACAGGCTGGCTGAAAGGAGAAGGAAGGACTATTGGTGTCTGTGACTGTTGCCAAGTAAATACAGATGTGTTTGCACAATCAAATCAAACTCGGATTTTCTTTTGACTTGAGTTTGTTGAACAAGCCATACTGGCTTGGCTTGTACATAACATTCAAGCATAAATCAGGGTCCCAGACAAATAGGGGTTGCATTTTTAATTTTACAGGATTTTGGCAACCAGGAACTTCAGCCACCATGACAATGACATCATACCATCACTCAAGTGGATGGGCCCACGGGGTCTTCTGTCGTTTTGCCTGTTTAGTTTCTGTTCTCTGAGAACTATCCCCAAACTGTCTTTAAGCTCCATGTTAAAGAGAGAAAAGAAGCTTATATTTCAACCAAATGGGATTGCAAGATCAAAAGCCTCTTCACAGTGGAGCTGAGTACTCCAAAGCAACCTTTAAGCTGAATGGTCAAGCTTGACAAATAGAAAACGATCGTCCAGAATTCTCACCTACAGTCGCAGAGAAGTTAGAATAGGCGGAATCATTGGTATAAACAAAAGTAGAATTATGGTAATGAAGCACAGTGAAGTTGTGGGATCTTAGCACTGCATGGGACAAGAAAGAAAACAGAAAACAAAAATGGAAAGCAACACCATGAATATATGCAAGGTGGATATGAATCAACCAGGCCATATCTCTCAATGTAGGAAAGCATTGACATCATCATTGCATCCTGCCAAAATCTCCTCCCTCCCGGGTTATAACTAGAAAGGGGCTAGCTTACATGGAAAATTAATCTGTCCTGTCTGAGAAAAATGGCCCATATTTTTAAAAAATGAGATCTCACAGGTAGACAAGGAAAATGCATGCTTAAGAAAACCGAATCTTTGGTGGCTGATTCTGGTTCAACCAGCTTCTCATGGGGGGAAAAAAAAGTTGTTCTTCAAATTCTACCCACTTGATTCTACCAAGCAAAGACCATCTCTGGTGGGGTTTTCAAGATCACCTATGTTCACCTCATAAATGCCCATTTATGGTGGAAAGACCTTAAGTTAACAATTGAATATCTGTTGGGCATTACAGAAAGTCCTGAGTATGGCACCCCCCAGCTCCAGAAGGAGCTGGGAAAGACCCAAAGACCAGGATCAGGGACCAATAATCTTTTGGGTGTTGCTGGACTACAAAACCTAGCAGCCAGCATCCCGGGAGTTGCTATTCAGTAACATACTGAGAACCATCCATTCCTCATTTTCAATGTAAACAATGCTGAACTAGACCAACTGAGCATTTGATTCATCATAAGACTCAAGACTTCCTACGTTTCTTCCCACTCCCCCAACCTTCAGCAACAATATTACAGGACAGACACATCCTGAAATATCCATCTTACAAAACTAAAATGACACGTAGGTCTCTGAAACTGAGTCTGACTCAGAAAGAATGTTCTGTGGACCTTAATTAATGAACAATAGGTGTAGTAAGCATATGCGAGCTTTATGCGCGTGGAGGAATGGACACTATGGCTACATAATCATCACTTAAACCATCTGAAATAGAAGGAAGTTCAGCTAATTGACTCAGAATCTCCCATTTATGTTTCACGGTCAATCACTGTTACAGTTTATGCTAATTCTATTCTGCAATTGTTTTGCTGCGGCAAAAGGATAACGTGAATACTCTGCGTGGGGCCTTTCTTCTCTCCAAAGCTAATCTGAAAATGCCAGTGTCTACAAAAATGATCCATTGAGAGAGATGGAACTGGAACTGGCTTCGTGAAGTTGCCAAACACACAACAAATGGATAAACATGGCAAGCAAAGCTGATGATGTTTCGAGGACTGACGAGCAAGAAAGGTGGAGCGGATGGCATGAATGTGTGATGCGCAGAAATGGCAAGGGTGGGAAGGAATATCAATGGATGGTGTTCTCCAAAGCTGTAGAGATGCACAAGTTGGAGTGCAATATGACAACCAGGAGAAGGTAATCTCCGGTATCGATGAACCCAAACCTTCTTGACACTCCATACACAGTGGGTCCAGTTATACTACCAAAGTAATGTGTACAGTCCAATCTCAAGACTGTTTGCTGAGAAGTAACTCAGTTGGTTTGCATGGAGTCCCACAGCACTCTTGGAACCAAATGACCTAAAGATAGATCTATAGGAAAATAGTTACATGGAATACAACATATAGGTCTATATCAAGTTTCTCAACCTTGGCAACTTTAAGATTTGTGGACTTCAACTCCCAGAATTCCCCAGCCAGCCCCTGCGGCTGGGGGGGACATGGGGGTGTAGGCGCACCAAATTAAAAGTATGAAGCTTTGTAGAACTTAGTTTAATCTTT